TTCCCACCGGACTGTTAACTTATCCCATACAGTATGTGGGTCCATGGGTTCTTCACACAAATCCATTCCCACTCAGGGGGAAGTATCGTTCTCTCCTAAAATTTACTGGATTTGGCCAATACTTGTACCTCCTTCCATTGGGGCTGATAACCATATTTAATAGAATGTTCAGCCAGTCCAGATTTTTCAATCAATTTTGGGACATAACTATTATTAGGCTCTCTTGATAAAACCTGAGCCACATTCCATCAGCAGAGAGAGTGGTGTTACTTTTAGTGCTTGCTGGAAGCCGCTGTTTGGTAAACTGGATAGACTTCACAGGTTGCCCTTATAAAATGCTGGCCAATGGAGGAGGATGACTCTTTAATGTTAATCTGTCTGGGTTTGGTCTGAACATCCACCCAGCTGGTTTTGATTGTATCTGGAGGTATTTGAAGGGGATGTGGTGGCGCTATGGGTTAAACCGCAGAAGCCTCTGTGCTGCAAGGTCGGAAGACCAGCAGTCATAAGATCGAATCCACACGATGGAGTGAGGTCCCATCGCTTGTCCCAGCTCCTGCCAACCTAGCAGGTTGAAAGCATGTAAAAATGCAAGTAGATAAATAGGTACCACCACAGTGGGAAAGTAATAGCATTCCGTGACTAGTCGTGCTGGCCACGTGACCACGAAAACTGTCTACGGACAAACGCTGGCTCTACACCTTGGAGACAGGGATGAGCACCACCCCCTAGAGTTGGACACGATTGTCCTAAATGTCAAGGAGAACCTTTAGTTTTACCTTGTTTGAGTTGATCTCCTGCCTTCCCCGACAAAGATGCAGGATATTGCCATCGAAAGCTCGGACTATTTTAACAATAGACATGAACTGACATAACTGGAAATCATAAGCTGTTTACAGAAAGTGTTTGTTGTGAAAGATTGAGATCTCTAAACATTTTTAAAGGCCCATAAAAGCAACAGTAAAAGTAACTGCAACATTTAAATAATTGCTTCTCCCTTAAGGTTGCTCCTATTTGTTACCTGGCTTTTGAAATATTGCTTTGGAAATGCAACTTTGTGGCTTCGCCCTTGTTCTGGAAACATAGAAATGAAATTCGTTTCTTCCAATCTAATCTAAATTTGTTTCACAATAAAATTTGAGAAACTGGCGCAGTGCAGCCCACTAGAAAAGAGGGAGACTACAAATAATTGATGACAATAAACAATAAAGAATTGCATAAATACCTGGAGTGATTACCCAACCCAGAAGAGACAAAGTCCCCAACAGCCTCATGGGTCTGCCTCACTTCTCTACTCAAGGTCAAGGAAAGCAAAGTGTAGCTGGTCTCTCCCAGGAAGTTGAAGATGGTATGATAGGCTTTGCAGTCCAAGAGTTGGAAGAGAAATGTTCCCGAGGAGGCTGTTTCGAGTCCAAAAGCAGAGTCATCCGACTGCCTTCATGAATGGACTAAAAAAGGAAGACTTCTCTATTGCAACCCTCTGTGCTTCTACTGTTGCCTTTGGCCCACTTCTGCTTTCTGTGTAAGCACAAGAACAGGAAACTAATAAAATGTGTCTTGTGTGAGCAAACCAAGTTTTTTTTCTAACAGCAGCCAAACAGCGGTCCCGTGAGAAGCCTGCAGTGGAGCATAAGAACAGGAGACTTTCTTTCGGGTTCCAGCATCTCATATGCAAATATATTGCCTCTGAAGAGGGCAGTTCTGTTTAGCCGTATGGCTGACAGCTACTAAGAGATCCCTAGGGATTCCTATAACTCTTTTTCACCGTTGTGTTCTTAGAGTTGCTGTCACTCTGAGATGTCACAGAGATCAGTTTTGCTTCAAGTGTAGGCTATATTGCCTTACTAGGGTTTTTTTGGCCTGCAATTTCCTCTTGTTACAGCTATTTCAGGATGAGATTTTTTTAAAAATTGTTTTGGTTTTGGCCCTTTTTCTGGTTTTAATTATGTGTCCCAAAATTCCTTATCTTTGGCCTTATTGGTGAAAGGTTTTAGAAACAATAGACACAACCTCTGGAAAGCCTACTTTTCCCCACCCCTGATCTATTGGGTGGCACCTCTTTCACCCTCTCTCTCTCCTTACTTGAACTCCTGCCCAGAATGCCTCTCTTCCCTGAGCTCTTTGCCTTAATCTCCAAGCTTTTATTCCTAGTTAGATGAGAAGTCAATCTTATTCTCCCTTTGCTTTATCTGACTAAGTGAGTGCTAATACAAAGCTAAATTGACGTACACCTTAGAACAGTGTTTCCCAACCATATAATACATAATATGAGGTGACTATAAATCTATCAAATAAAACTTGAGAAAGAAATAGTTAATTTTCTTTCTTTCTTTCTTTCTTTCTTTCTTTCTTTCTTTCTTTCTTTCTTTCTTTCTTTCTTTCTTTCTTTCTACCCTTTCTACCCTTTCTACCCTTTCTCCTTGAAAAGGACACAAGGTGGCTTATAAACAATGAAGGACAATATTTAAAGTTGAAAACAATGAGTATACAACAGTAGTTGACATCCTTAAAAGACAATATTTTAAACTATGAACAATGAATAAGAAGACATCTTACATAAATTAATGGGCAATATTAAGGCAAAGATCAGTAAGTATACAAAAAAGTTACTCTGAGAAATGGAAAATGCAAAAATAGAAAACACAAGTAATAGCAAAAACCCAGTCAATCAATAATGTATAACAATGTATCTAAAAATCTCACACAAGTACCTGGTTTACTGAGGGAAAGTTTTCCTGACAAAAAACCCAGTCAATCAATAATGTATAACAGTGTATCTAAAAATCTCACACAGGTAGATGGTTTACTGAGGGAAAGCTTTCCTGACAAGAAAGGCCTTTGCCCGATTGCAGAAGGACAGCTAAGATGGGACCAGTCTGGGCTCCTGTGGGAGGGAGTTCCAGAGTCTGGGAGCAGCCACAGAGAAGACCCTCTCCTGTGTCCCCATCAGATGCACCTGTGAACGTGACGGGACCAAAAAAAAAAGGGCTTCTTCTGGTGTTCTTAACACTGAGCTGGCTCATAATGGGAGATACAGTCTTTGATAGCTTGGACCCAGGCTATTTAGGGCTTCATAGGTTAAAACCAGCACTTGGAATTGTGTCCTTTTAGGGCTTCATAGGTTAAAACCAGCACTCAGAATTGTGTCCTGAAACTGATTGGCACCCAGTGGAGCTGCTGTAATAGGGTGGGGTGGGTATGGGTTATGCGGTCCCTGTAATTAGCCTCTGTCAGCAATCTGGCTGCTGTATTTTGGATCCGTTGAAGCTTCCTGATGCTCTCATTGGCAGCCCCACATAGAGCTCATTATATTAATCCAGCCTGGAAGTAACGAGGGCATGTATTACAGTGGCCAGATCAGAACTCTCAAGAAATAGACATAGCTGGTGCACTAATTTTTATTGTGCAAGTGCACTCCTGGCCATTGCTGAGATGTGGGCATCCAGGTTCAGGGAGAGCCCAAAAAACCCACAACAACCACCATCTCATCTTATTTTCTCATGTAGGCGATATATTCATGTGTTCTACAAAAACAAAGCTGGACATCCTTCTAATTCTGCTCTGTACAAGTGCTAACTTTGTGCAAAGGGAGACAAATGGTCTTTGACACTAAGAGTCAGCTTCTACTTACCTACACTGATATATGTAGATATGCTACAGTGGACCCTCGATGTATGCATGGCTCGACGTGCGTACTTTTCAAGGTACGGACTTCTCCGGCCGCAAGATTTCCAATCGACTTGCAGTCGGAGAATCGACCTACGGATCGGAAGGGGGAAGCGGGGGAAGCGCCAAATTCAAATTTAGTGCTTTCCCCGCCTCCCCCTTTCAGTCCATAGGCCGCCAACCTGCCTCTGGATGCTTTCCAGGGCTTCTCCACTACCATGGAAGTCATCTTGGAGGTCCCGCCCACCGCCGATAGTGCTTCAGAGTCAGGAACGGCGGTGGAGGAGGACCTCCAAGATGCCTCTCATGGCAGTGGAGAAGCCCTGGAAGGCATCCGGAGGTCCTCCGCCACCGCTCCTGCCGCTGGGAGCCAAGCCGCGCTGGGCGATCCTGGCCATGCTCAGAATTCGAGCATGGCCGGGATCATCCATCGTGTCTCAGCTACTGGTGGTGGCAGGGGGGCGCTGGGTG